GAGAGCAGGTCATTAGCTTGTACCAGTTCTTTAGGTGGAGTAAATGAGTAGAATTTATGGCTACTTTCATTTCACATGGCTCTGTATAAGGCTACATATAGCCTTTATATGATATTAGTAAAGAACAGAGTTTTAGTCTTTACTTTTCCATATATTGCATATTTAATTCATTAGATTAGAAAAGTTTTTCTTCTTCGTGTCTTCATAGATGCATGCGTAACAAAAAAGGAACCCCTCTCTCCTTTCTCTGGCTGATGCTTAATGTCTAATGATTAGTAACATTGCATTATCTGATGATAAATGCAGAATCGGATTCAGGTATTTTTAGGCAGATTTTGAAGGGAAAACTTGATTTTGAAAGTGATCCATGGCCAGAAATTACAGAAAGTGCAAAAGATTTAATAAAAAGAATGCTTGATAGAAGACCACAACAAAGGATAACTGCCCATTCAAGTCCTATGTGAGTTTTATCATTTGTTTGTTTTGGTTCATGGCTCATTTTTCAATCAAACTGTATCCTGAATTTCATTGGTTCTTATAAGAAACAGGTCATCCATGGATTGGGGATGACACAGTTGCTTCAGACAAGCCTCTTGACTCTGCAGTCATATCGCGCCTCAAGCACTTCTCAGCTATGAACAAACTTAAAAAGATGGCTTTGCGTGTAATACTAACTAATACCTTTTCATTTATCATATTATTAAATGTTTCTACATTTATAACCAAAAAAAAGGCATTCATTACATAAAATCATCATCTTTATTTAAGTTCAAATTTGTTCCTAGGTAATTGCAGAAAGGCTTTCAGAAGAGGAGATTGGTGGGCTAAAGGAGTTATTCAAAATGCTTGACACAGACAACAATGGCACCATCACATTTGAAGAACTCAAAACTAGGATTAAACAAAGTTGGCTCCAATCTAATGGAATCTGAGATCAAGGAACTCATGGATGCAGTAAGTTTTTTTTTTTTTCTTTTCTTATATGCATTTCACATTTCTCCAAAATTCCATGCTCTTTAGACTACATGTCATCGAGTCACCAATAAAACAAAAGTTGTACATTTTGAAAGGCCTTGTAATATTCTTATGATAGAATAATATTAAAAAAAAAAATGTTACGTAACATAACATAACATAGATAAAGCTTGACGGCAGGCTGATACAGACAGCAGTGGGACGATAGAGTATGGTGAATTTCTTGCTGCAACATTGCATTTGAATAAGATGGAGAGAGAGGAAAATTTGCTTACAGCCTTCTCTTATTTTGACAAAGATGGAAGTGGGTACATCACCATGGATGAACTTCAGCAAGCTTGCAAAGATCTTGGTCTAAGCGACACTACTCAGCTGGATGAAATGATCAAGGAAATCGATCAAGACAATGTTATTCCATCATCCATCTTCATCTTTATTATTATTATTATTTTGATTTACGTTTAAAGTTATACATATTCATTTCTTGATTTCATGACAGGATGGGCGCATAGATTATGCAGAATTTACCGCAATGATGAGGAAGTCGGATGATGGGATGAGAAGTAGCAGATCGATGAAGAAAGGGAGTTTGAACTTTGATTTGGCAGAAGCGCTTGGCATTGATAATAATACTAACCAATCAAAAGATTAACCATGCATACATACAATCGGTTTGCGCTGTTTTGTCTCTTCTTACACTTCACAACCTCATTGGTTGCAAAAATGACACTTTGCATCCTAGTATCATTGTCACCACAAAAACCCCAACTCCTTGTAATTAGTGAATTTGATGGTTTGATTATGTTGGGAGTAATCTTTAAAAGTACTTGTAATTTAAATAAATAGATAATTAAGAAAATATTGTATAGTTTATTCGACCATGTTATAGTATATGGCGTAAAGCAATCGACACAAAAAGGTAAAAACAGAGGTATATACATATCATAATTAGTGAATTTACAAAGACTCGTTTGACAGATGTTTAACTTTCAATACAATATAATAAAAAGGTGGCAAAATTGTAAACATGGTCATGTGGTATGTATTTTTTATGGGTTTTGGTCAAAACTCTAATTTTTTTGATATGTAGTTCTTTTGAGCTAGTTTCATCTATTCTAAACTTGAAATGATTATAATACCCTTAATGTATTTATTTTATATTTTTTAAAATCTAATACTTATTCATTGATTTCTAATAATTAAAAAATAAGACTCTCATTATTTGTCTTGTCAAAATTAAAACACATACATTTCACACAGTGGTCGTGTTCTTCAAAACACAACACACACATAAACTCGATGTTTTCTGAAACAAATATGGAGAAGGGAACTTGTTCTTAGTCTTGGATTTGAAACGAAAACCTACGCAAAAAATCATAATCCGAAGAACAACACTTGAAACAACGATGAACACTACTAAGAACGTTGACGAACTCCAGAGATGGATAAATCTTCGGTGGCCATATCTTACACACCGATACACTCAATATCACCATCTCTGAAGCTGAACCAAAAGATTTGTAGTGAGTCTCAATTTCAAGAGGGTTCTCCGAATCGCTGCCTTCCTCTAAATCCGAGTTTGTGCTTATTATTTGTAATCAATCGATGGAGGTTTTTATTAGATGGGTTCATCCAGATGAAGAAGATGGATCCAAGTTTTGAGTCATGGTTTTTAGCACCAGTTTCTCTTTTAAATGGGATTGAGTTTCAGTGCTTCAATCAGAGGTTGTGAAGGGATAATCTATGTTAGAGATCTTTTCTTCTTCTTAGATGAATCTAGAAGAAGTTCTTGAGGGTTGGATCCTAACATCCGTAGTTGTGGAGTTACTGTGGGAGTTGACTATTGGTGGTTGTCTTTGTTGACCTTCTTCCAAACACCACCGGTCTTTCCGGAAGAGAAGCTACCTCCATCTCCTTGTATGTTTCACATTTGGAGATATAAACAAAGAAGGTTTGGAAACAAAAGATCAATGGTTAATGTATATAGAGGGGAAACTTTTGACAATAAATTTAACTATTTTGTGTTCTTGTTGATTGGTAGATGCTAGGCTAATGGGGTTTATTTATTTTTTATTTTTTTTGGTTTCATTAGTGGATCAGGTGATTCGATTGAGAATAGGTTTTGAATTTAGGGAAAAAACCTAGTAGGAGATGTCGATTTAGTATATGTTTGTTTTTCAATGGATTTGGATGAAAGATGCAAATGATATGGATGAATATTAAGATGATTTAATGTGAGTATGTGGGTGTTTGTTTTTAGTGGATTCGATAGAAGATGAAGATGCATATGTTTTTCAACCCAATAAATCTAGAAAACAATGGTATATATATATATATATATATATATATATATATATATATATATATATATATATAATATATATATATATATATATATATATATATATATATATATATATATATATAGAGAGAGAGAGAGAGAGAGAGAGAGAGAGAGAGAGAGTACGGTCAAGTCTCATGATATGATGTGTCAAAGTATAATCACATGTTGTCCACCGGTGCCGGCAACAACATCATCACAAGACTTCAAGTATTAGCTCCATTGTGTAACGATTTGTACAATTGTATTTCTATTGTATGTTATTATAGTATTCTATTGTATTTCTGATTTGGTATCTTGGTGATAAGAATCTGTTTACATAATGGTGATATATATTTTTACCAGAACAATAACGATCGACCATTTGAGCATTAGTGATGAATCTTCAGCATTAGTCTCTAATAATTTTTTTGGAAACGACAAATAATTATATTAAATCAAAAAGAAACACCAACTCCTAACAAGCTGCTATGAGGGTGAGAGTATAGAGTAGGGGTTGAGTGAGAAATAGTTGCATAGAAATAAAAAGGTTCACACACCCATCTATCCATCTAATTTGGCGGTCTCTAATAATTAATGACGACATTTTAGAACTTTCGTGGCCACTTGCCATTAAAGATCAATATTCTTGTATTGAGAAATCAATAACCATGGTTTCCAAATTCAACTCACTTAAAAAAGAAAAATTGGGATCACCAGTAAAAGGTACGTATGTTCTTGTCACTCATAAATGAAAATTAAACATATTATTGCGAATCCATGAAAAAAGGCATATGATACGACAAGAAGGAACACTGACGATAGCCCCAACAAATCCACGACCAATCCAATTAAAGCCGAAGCTTATCTTACATTGCTAAGGACTTTGTGATCGGGACGATTTTCAAATGATGTTTGAGCGATGTAGAAATCCCTGTGATTTCTGTGATGTCAAGCTCATGCGATTTTAATCCATTTGGAAGCATCCAATCAAAATGATACAAAAAATTAGCAAGTGGGTATTCAACCATACTCAGCCCAAATGTAATTCCTGAGCAAATTCTCCGGCCAGCACCAAATGGAATGAACTCAAAATCTGCACCCATGTAATTGATCGGACAGTTCTCAAATCTCTCTGGAATGAAGCTTTCAGCATCTTCCCAACAGGACATCAAGTAGATCTTCCTGATGGTTATTGTTTCTTCCTCTAGCTCTATGTTCCTTTAACACATCTTCCAAGATGGCATCAAGCTTTTTATGCATCTTCAACCACTTGGCTTTCTTCCCCAAAATCACGTTAAGAAACTGTAGACGGGGATAATACGATGCTAGATTGAAAGCACTCAAAGTTTTCAACACGTCAAGCAATAGCTCGATCAATGTAGCCTGGTCTTTGTAAGAATATCCCAACGTAGCTTTGCATATCACATTATTCACCATCTCCACAGTCATTTCCGTGAAGTTGACGGGTGTTCCGGCTTTCGATTCAAAAACCCTGGTTATATTACTAACCTCCTCTTCTCGAATAGAGCTGAAAGATCGAATCTTTTTAGCACTTAGAAGCTCTAATCTGCATATCTTCTTCATCTGTCTCCAGTATTCTCCGCAAGGAGCCCACCCAATGTCTTGAGCGTTATAAAAGAATATTCGAGAGGCTGTGCTGGTGGGTCTGTCGTCAAAGCAGATATCGTTGATCTTCAAGATCTCTCGAGCTAATCGAGGTGTAGACACGACAACTGTAGAGACTTGGCCGAGCTGTAGGTAGATGATGGGGCCATATTTTTTGGCTAAGGTTCTAAGAACACGATGAGGGGTGGAGGTTTTGAGTTGGTGTATGTTTCCGATAATAGGTAGTTTTGGTGGCCCTGGTGGAAAGTTCTTCAAAGTCTTGGGTGATAGTGCCCAACAAGCAAAGAGAAAGAGTGAAGCCATAATTAGAGAGACGATGGTGAGAGGTTGCATGGTTGCATGCAGGCTGTGGTGTGATGGGGGTATGTATACGATGATATTTATAATAAATAAGTAGCAAAATTACCCTTTTCTTTTTTCTTCTCAACCGTCATAAAGAACGTCATCTTCAAGTCATATATATATATATATATATATATATATATATATATATATATATATATATATATATATATATATATATATATATATATATATATATATATATATATTACATTTTTTGCAAAAACAGGGAGTGTTTGAAAAATCTATGGTTGCTTGGGTGTTTTATAATTGAAGGACCTTATCATTTGTATTGTCCGAAATCCGAATACTAAAAGGGATAATGACTTGAAAGGGTAACGAACTTTCGACTTTTGTCACATTTAGTCACTAAACTTTTTTTCGTTATGTATTTGCCATTGAACTATTGAAAATGTTCACATTTTACCCTTATGACCGGCTGTTACCGGTCATAAGGGTAAAATGTGAACAATTTCAATAGTTTAGTGGCAAATAGATAACGAAAAAAAGTTTAGTGACTAAATGTGAACAAAATCGAAAGTTCGTTTCCCTCTAAAAAGTTCAAAGACTAAATGTGAACAAACTTCCTATTGTATTATGTTTTAGCAAAATTATTTATTTTTGTTTAATTGTAGCAACATTTGTTGATAAAAAAATCTATGAAATAAAAAAACAAAATGCAACATCCGGATTTCCAGGTATCATAATTTAAGTATTTTTCTTTTGAGTTAAGAAGGGAGACTCAACGAGTTGACGCCTCAACTCGTCGAGTAACGTCGTAACCGATGACTCAGATTAATGAATGGACTCGACAAGTCGGTGAGGCGACTCGACGAGTCTGCGCTGTTGGCAGAAACCCTAAATATTTGGGCCCGAGCCATATTTAAAGGCAATTATGGCCTTCAATTGCGACTACCTTTCCCATAAGTGAGAACCCTAGCGAGCTTGAGTGTGTAGAGTGAGAGGAAGAGTTATATTGAGCTTTTTGGTGTGATAGATCTGGACCCTTCTAGGTTCAGAGAGCCGAGAATATGAAGCTTTAGTAGAGTAAACCTTGGGGTTCGAAGTTAGGAAGCATTTATGGGATTTTTATGGTAGATATAGTTACTTTCATCTTACACATAGATATATATGAAGTATTTTATATAAATTACGTGCTATGTGTGCATATTATTTGAATACTTGTTGTCTATGCTGGATGAACGATTTTATACATGTTTTAAAAAATTTAAACGGTATATTTATTTTATATCTACAAATATATTGCGGATGAAACATTGGTAGATGAAATAGTTGGTGTGTGATGAAATAAATTGATGAGAGATATGTGATGATAATTAGGTATATAGATGATGATGAATATGTGATGTAGGATTAAAGGAAATACCATAACCTTAACCAGCAATGTGGCGATGTAGTCATCTACCAGAGTATAGATGGCGACCACGGACTATTCTAGACAACCCAGTGGAAACACCAGCAGGCCCATAACCTGTAGGTGATGAATTACGAGTTCAGGCGACGTTGTAACTACGTATTCATGCGATGATACTCCAACCCCTTACTATAAATTACGAGTTCAGACGATGTTGTAACTACATATTTATAGGATGTCACAAAATTCGGATGTCAAACCAATGATCATAATTCACATCAGTGAGAATGGTTTATTTTTTTGTAAAACCAAAATCAGATTGGAAATTTTGATTTTTTATTTTGGAAAATGTCAAACCATTGGTTTTTTATTTCGGTTTTGGTTTTTTGTATTTTTTTAAATATATTTTCAGTTTTTTTTTTCATAGATTTCTTCATCAACAAATGTTGCTACAATTTAACAAAAATAAATAAAATGCTAAAACATAATACAAGAGGAAGTTTGTTCACATTTAGTCATTGAACTTTTTAGAGAGAAACGAACTTTCGATTTTGTTCATATTTAGTCAGTAAACTTTTTTTCATTATCTATTTGCCATTGAACTATTGAAACTGTTCACATTTTACCCTTATGACCGACTGTTGCCGGTCATAAGGGTAAAATGTGAACAGTTTCAATAGTTTAATGGCAAATGGATAACGAAAAAAAGTTTAGTGACTAAATGTGACAAAAGTCGAAAGTTCGTTACCCTTTCAAGTCATTATCCCATACTAAAATTATCACCGTTTACATCCTTTTATCTAGTAACTAGATTATAGTTACAATTATAGCTTTTATATACCATTGAAATTAAATTGCTTCTTATTTTATGTCTACAAATATTCCTACCCAATAAAATTATGATAAGTGTCATCATTCTATATTTTTTTAACTAACTCATTAAGGTTATATTAGGAATATATCAATTACAATTAAACTGAATGGTAATTTGTTATAATTTTAGTGGGTAGAAATAATTGTAGCCATAAAAGGTAATAAGCAATTTAATTTCTCTTACACATATAACCTTTTAACTTTCATCTATCCTTTTATTTAAATCTTTTAGTTTTGAAAATTTTACTTTTAACTCTTATTGTATATTAATGTATATTATGTGTAAATTAATTTACTAGAAATATATAATTAAATTTGAAGTGTTATTTTAAGCATATTATACCATTAACAAATACCTTCATTGGATATGCTATTTGGAGCATTTGGAAAACAAGATAATACATTTAACAACAATTGGCTATCCCCAACAAAATGTGCGGATATCATCAAATCCTTAACTTTTTTGTGGATCAAGAAGAAAAGGAAGAAATCCAGAATAGATTGGAGTAATGGTGTAATTGTCCTTTTCTTTGTTTCTAAACTGTAATCACTTTGTCATCTTTATTTGCCTTCCTCTACCTACTTGCTAGTGGTTGGCCTTTTATAAAATGTTTGCTGGTTCCAAAAAAAATACTTCACAAATACCTTTAAATTTATACAAATAATTAATAATGTATATTACAAATACATTTAAGTGTTGCAAAAAAAAAAAAAACCAATGAAATTTGTCACTATTTATTAACAGTTCAAAATATTGATTATTATCTACAAAAACAAAAGCAATTACAGTTCAAAATATTGATTGTTATCTACAAAAGCAAAAGCAATTATTATTGTTAAAAATATTGATTGTTATCCTCAAAAGCAAAAGCAATTGGAATTCAATTGTCACTACATGAAACACGTCACTATTTATAAACAATCCAAAATATTTCGTTACTTTTTGTGTTGGTAAATTTTGTTGATCGAACTAAGAGCATCCTTAACGTGGGTTTAATAATAGTTGAATAGGTGATGATTATAATTGAATAGAAGTTTAATGGAGTGTGAGTGATGATATGGATGAAAGTTAAATGGGAGAGTTGCATGAATATTAAGTGGTTCAATGGATTTAATTTTTTTTTTTTCAATTAAATTTCAAAGCAAATATAGAAATCCATTAAACATTGAAGGGTTTAATGGAGTATAGATGTTAAAGAGTATAGTTAAATAAAAAGTAAAATGTAGCAGCGATGCGGCAATTCATTAAACTCCTTAGAGTTCAATGGATTGTGGATGCCTTACGTTTAATTTATCATTTTTTGCAAGGAAAATAACTTGTTAGTGTAATTATCTTTATCGTTTTGTTCACATTTATGTAACTTCTTTATTTTTGTACATATTTAACCATTTAACTTGTTATATGTTTTCACATATTGTCATTGTCATCAGATATAGCAGGTGATAATGGTAATATGTGAACAAATTAAAAAGTTAAATGGTTAAATGTGTACGAAACAAAGAAAATTATCCAAAATATGAACAAAACGAAAAGTTAATTACATTAATAAGTTATTTTCCCCACTTTTAATAGCGATTTTATTTTTCATATTTGTTTGTATTATTTTAATTAAATTTTATTTTTAAAATATCCATAATTTTCTAAATGTTGATCAATTTTAAACTTTACTTTTTAATCAATAAATATGCATTTGTTTTGTGAGATATTTTATATAGCTTCGTATCAAATTTTTTCTTTTAATTTTAAGCATATACAATATTTTTAAAGTAATAGTATTTAACAATAAAATTTAATAAATTAAATATGAAACAATACGTACGGTGAGCCATTTAAAAAAATAAAAAGAAAATATTACTTAGCAAATAAAAAAAATCTATATAATGTAAATGTTTTAAAATTGTTCCAACCGTCTAATACTTTTTAATTAAAATTTTATAATCTTTTAATTTTTTTATTACAATGTTTTAAACTAGTATTTAACGAAAGTATTGTAAATTAACTTTATAAAAAATATTAAATTATCATAAAAAATCTCTGTAACATTTTAAAAATGTTGTAAATGAAAGTTTAGAAATAAATGTATGAAAGTTATAATATATATATATATATATATATATATATATATATATATATATATATATATATATATATATATATATATATATATATATATATATATATAAAGACAAGTTACATACTTGTAAAAAAAATTTAAAACATTTATAAAATATTTGGTTTAAAAGCATTTGTATTAAAATTATATGAAAGAATAAAAAATGTTAAAAGAAAATATAAACAAAGATTTAAAACATTATATTAGAAAAACATATAGGAAAAAAATATCATAAAAATGTTGTAAGAAATTATAAAAAAAAATTAATAAATTAATAAAAAAAAGTTGTTCATATCTAGGTAACTTAATTTTTTTTTTTTGTACATATTTAACCATTTAACTTGTTCAATGTTTTCATATATTATCATTGCCACTTGCTATAGCATGTGACAATGATAATATGTGAGCGCATTTAACAAGTTAAATGGTCAAATATGTACAAAAAAAATAAAGTTACCTAAACGTGAACAAGACGAAAAGATAATTACCCTCGCAAGTTATTTTCCCTTTTTTCAACTAGATACTTATATTATTTTATTTGAATTCCAAGTTCTCAAACTCTTCCTTCCTTCCTTCATATAAGGTATCCATCAATATCTAAAAATCTAGCATATATTAATATAAAACAT